GTGTGTGTGTGTGTGTGTGTGTGTGTGTTGCCAAAGAGAAAAAAAAAAACACTTCTATGTGTGTTTGTCTTTCTGATGTGTGTCTGTCTGGTGTGTAGGTGTGTGACAGTATCGTGTGTGTATATGTGCATGTCTCTATAGCTCCACTGTTGTAACGAAGCTGTCAAGTGTTCTGTACCAATACCGGCTCCAGCTGACGGGATATGCTGCTGACGTCACGAAACCGGGCTAACAATACGTTAACGCAGAGATTTTCAAACTGGGTGCTTCGGTAAACCATAACCATAATTGTGGAGGCGGCATCTGATTATTTGATTCAGTGCTCGACGCGTGAATTTCATTTTAAAAGTGCCCCAATTTGGGTTCCAGTCTCCATTTTGAGGCAAATAAAATAGACCTATTGACTCCCCTACCCCCCCCCCCCCCACCCCCCCCCCCTAACAACAAGCATGTTATAGAAAGCAACTCATTAGGGCAGTGGTTTTCAACCTTCGTAATGCAGCGACCCTTTAATACAGTTCCTCGTTTTATGGTGGCTTCTAACCATAACACTTATTTCCGTTGCTACTTCCTAACCAGCGAATATGTGTTTTTTTGATGGTTTTAGGCAACCCCTGTGAAAGGGTCGTTGGACCCCCAAAGGGGTCGCGATCCACATGTGAGATCCGCTGAAATTGGGGGTGAGTGACGTTCAACCCCAACCAGGACCGCACAACGAGCGATAAACACCCGGTGACACTAAGTGGCACCACTGGGGCGAGAATCGCCCTATCACAAGGCCCTAAAACCCCATTCAATCGTTAGGTTGGTAATATTAGGGCCCTCGACTGCAGTCGATGTGGGGTTTGAAATAAAAAAAATAATTGAGACCCGCATTGGAACAGTGTGTAGTAAGTAACTAGGGATTTAATGAAATTATAGGATTTGAACCAAAAGGCCTAGATATCGTAGACTTGCTGTAAACTACAGCCTAATCTGCCAACCGTCTCTTTTAATTACGAACGCTTAAGTTCGAAATTACTACATACATAGCCCGCCGTACCCCTTTCTTCTGCTGTTAACTCCTGGTGAAAGTTCTGGTCGTTGGTCCAACAGGGACCGAAACGCACACGGGGCGACTGCCGCATGACACAATATGTTTTCATCATGCATGCATGCACGCACACTCACAACCAGTTTTTATTTCAAGGGGGTTCAAGTCAAAAATACACGAAGAGAAGAAATAAAATTATCTCCCTTTCAAATCAGGATTCCGTGTCTTGTCATTTATTCGTCTTTCGCAGAACAGCCTTATGGTCTTGAATTATAATCTGCATTTAGGTGAATTTTATATTTGATCTGTGCTCCCAAATCGACCTAAGCTAAGACAGGTGCACGGAAATGTTGTGGAAAGTACATTAAACTGAAAAGATACTAGCCACATCAACGAATGTCGATTATTAAAAATATGGATCATTCACAGTTATGCCCTTTTCCTTCTTCTTTTTTGTGTGTCTGATTCTTCTTCTCTTCACCTTTTACCTCGGTGAAGTGTCGACAGAAAGGGGGCTTGTTGTAACGGTTTAGTGTGGCTCCCTGTGGTAGATAGTACCAGGGCATTCTTGTTAGGTGTCCAAACCACTTCATTTGTTGTTCTTTGATGACCTGTAAGACTGGCTTTATTCCTAACATTTGTATGATTTGGTGATTTCTTATTCCGTCTTTCCTTAAAACTCCTGCAGCTCTTCTAAGGCATTTCATCTCTGTAGTCACAATTTTACGTTCGTTAGAGGATGTAAGTTTCCATGTTTGGCACTGATAGATTGGTGTTGGCCACACATAAAAAATAGTTATGCTAAGATTCACTTTAGCACTCCAGAGTATCTGCTTGTGTTTCAACAGGGTAGATAGTTGCCCCATTACTTGATTAGCTTTGGCATAAGTCGAGCTAATTTTTCTGTCCAGTTTTCCATCGAATGTGAAAACTGCTCCGAAATACTTGAATTTTTCTGTTTGTCTTACTGCGCTGTGTTTTAATTTTGTTTCTAAATCGTCTCTTTATCCTCATATAACCATTGTCTCTGTCTTCGTATTGTTTATTCTCATATTATAGTCCTCCCCTTTGTTATTAATTGATTAAGGTGGTTCTGAAGGCATTCCATACTTTCTGCTATGAGTACCTGGTCGTTGGTGAATAGTAATTCTGTAATACCTTCTTCATGATTAAAGTTCTTGTATTTATCCATGTCTCAAATTCCGAGCAGAGAAGTCGTCCTTTGCTGCTGATATAGACGTTACGGGTGCCATAATTATAACTTGTTTAGAGGTTAAGTGGGGTATATTTGATCTGCCTGGTTGGCCTTATAACATCTATATTAAGATCTTTTCATCGCAGGATGGTACGGTAAACCCGTAAGTAGCAACCAGAAAGGGACTAACAAATCGATCAATCAGAAAAGGCTTAGAAATTAGTTGCAGAGGATGTTGCAGAACCAAATCTCAGCATTAGTTGGCTATTTTGGTTTTACTAATCAATTTTACATCAGTAGTTTGCCATTGCCCACTGAACTGTCTGCTTTTGATACCCTTGTCGATATCAATGCAAGGCATCTGCCATCAAATTGCTTGTAGCTGGAATCAAACAGAGTACTATGGAATTATGAAGTGCATTGACAAGGTCAAAGCCACAGACACTGACCAGAGAAGGCCAGGTTTGAGATTTTGATGTCCAGGAAATGAAGGACAAGTGTGAGATCATTAGAAAACCTGTGCTCCCTGAAAATGTTCCAACTCTATGCTCTGATTCACCCAGTAGTCTGGCTTAGATATACATCCATACCTCTAAGTCACATTATTTGCCACACTGTGCAAATTATTTTGAAAGAAAGAAAGAAAGAAAGAAAGAAAGAAAGAAAGAAAGAAAGAAAGAAAGAAAAGAAAGAAAAAGAAAGAAAGAAAGAGACAGACAGACAGACAGACAGACAGACAGACAGACAGACAGACAGACAGACAGACAGACAGACAGACAGACAGACAGACAGACAGACAGACAGACAGACAGACAGACAGACAGACAGACAGACAGACAGACAGACAGACAGACAGACAGACAGACAGACAGACAGACAGACAGACAGACAGACAGACAGACAGACAGACAGACAGACAGACAGACAGACAGACAGACAGACAGACAGAAAGAAAGAAAGAAAGAAAGAAAAGAAAGAAAGAAAGAAAGAAAGAAAGAAAGAAAGAAAGAAAGAAAGAAAGAAAGAAAGAAAGAAAGAAAGAAAGAAAGAAAGAAAGAAAGAAAGAAAGAAAGAAAGAAAGAAAGAGGCAGAAACTAAGAAAGATATAAAAATAAAGATGGATGAAAGAAAGCGAGCATCACTTTTTGCACTTACAGCTGACTCATTTGTTCATAAAGTTTCCAGCCTCAGCAGCTAGACATGAACCTAATCTTTTGAACTTAATCACATAAAGTTGTCAAATATAAAACTGTACGCTCCTCTACAATCTGTCTGTCAGACTGCTTTTACCAACTGGGCTGGCTATTTGAAGGGCTGACCACCCCTGTGATTCAAAGAGTCACATCCTGTTTGGCATTCCAACAGGGAACATCACAAATACCCTGTTCAACTTACGAAGAAGTAATAATTAGGGCACCCGTAATGGATACACAAAGTACCACCCGGGGGTATCCTGCAGTCAGGTGTAAGTGTGGATTAATATTTTTTTTATATAACTGATGATGACAAATGGATAAAAGAAAAAAAGAACAAGTATATTCAGTAAATATAACTTTATTTTCCAGATTCCATAGCCCTACTTATTCTAAAATTAATAATCATTTCTAGACTCAGTATAATAATACAGAAACAATTAAGGACATGCAGAATCAATTAATAGATAAATAGTTTATATTTTTTTTACTTTAAAGATGGTTCTCTGTACTCCCACCAGTTTTCTTTGGGGCCAAAGAACTTACCATCTACTAACTGGTAACTCATCACACATCAGAAAAGACAGACTTATAACCTCATTGCACATGTTAAGATGCATTTTAAAAATGGAAATCAAATCCAAAACAAGCTGGTTATGCCATGTTTCAGGCTACATTTCAAAATTAGATATATCTACTCACAAAATAATATTTATAGCCTTTTTGATGTGATATACACAAATTTGAGTCATTGCTGGTGCTTTTGTGTTTGTGCATTGTCCTGCCATTGTTCAAAAACCCAAACCAGTTATTCATAAAATACAATATGCACAGGTGTATTAGTTTTGTGTGTGTATGTGCCTGTTAACATATTTAACATTATTAACATTGAACATTGGCAATATGATACTGTCTTCTTTTTTTTTTTAAAACTCTTCTAAATTTAAGCCTTTACCTAACTAAAAACATCCTTATTTAATGTTATATCTGAACAAGTCTCAATATTTTAAAAAAATGATGACTGCCTTTTTCTCAAGTTTGGCTGTCCAAACAATTTTTGATGTGTACCTGATATACTTTTCTTAACTTGTTCAACCTCATCCAGCTATGTTGCCCCAACTCTTATTAAACTCGTACCAAAATATTATTTTAACTCCTTCAAACCAAAACTATTAAGGTTTCTCAAGCGAAATTCCTAAGCACAGTGTATTTTTGAAAAAAAAAAAAAAAAAAACAGACCCAAAATTCCACAATAAGCAAACCGCTTAAGGTGACTAATAGAGAATTTGCTGAAATTGGATGGGCTGAACCAAAAGGGGTAGAAATAACAGCTTAGATGTAAAATAATATACATTGTGCCAGGTTCCCTTGTTAGGGTGACTAAATAATAAGAATAAGAAAAAGAAGGAGAAGCAGCAGTGTCAGCTGCTGTAGCAAACAGGAGGAAGAAGAGAAGAAGAAGGAGGATTCATTAAAATAAAAACTTCATAGAGAGTATGAGTTTAAATAACACCTGTTTGGGACTGGAAGAGTTTGAAAACATGATTACTTTGACTAAACAATATCAAAGAAAACATATTTACTTATCTTTTCTAAAGTAAACAGGAACCAAAAAGAGAACTGTAAATATAGAAAGTGTAAGAAGCACTAAGTAAACAATAAAGAGAAATTTATCTACTACTTCAGCTACATAAAACCATCTTCTTTTATTTAAATAATTTCTGCTGATATCAGTCATATTATTGTTCATGGAAGACAGTTCTCCGTTATCAGGTTGAACCGATTCTTTCTGGTAAGAATCATGCGTCTCAAACTGTGAGGATAAATTATTTGTGTTTCTGGTTCTTCTGTCCTCTCCTCTGCGTGAAAAGGACGTAGGTTGTCTGTTATAACACTGATTTCCAGAAGGATGATTCAAACTATCAGGTAATGGATCTTTGCCTGCATACTCATTAGGATGTCCTTCAGATGTGTTATAACATTGTGCATTTTCGTGGAGCTGCCTATTTCATCACTGAATTCATTCCTGTGGTTGATAGGATCCTCACCTAATCTAGACGGCTTGTCCTGCACAGGAGAATTAATCTCTTTTTCCAGTTTACTTCTGGACTTAGTTGAACTGCTTCCTGTTTTATTACTATGATTCGAACTGACAGCAGCTTCTGGTGACAGACAAGACTTTTTATGGGCACTGTTATTTTTCTGGTCACGCTCACTGACTTCAATGGGACAAGGAATCTGATCCTTCCAGAGGTACCTGGTGCAGACTACCCTGCCAAATACATGATGACACAAGAAGAAGAACCAGCCAGGGACATCAGGAGGAGGGTTGTCATCTCCTCGTTTTTTAATGTTCATAACAATGGTGGCCATGATGAGGGATACACAGTTGAAGGTCATCACTGTCAGCAAGAAAACACCTGAAAAAAAAATAATATACAGAATTGTCAGTTTGTCATGTTTTTTTTTTTTTTAAATATAAATATGATTTAACATCTGAAAAAAGCAATATAAGAACAGTCTGAGACAGTTATGTTTAATTTATTATTATTTATAGTTTTTTAGCATCTTAAAAAAATTATATACACAACAACAAGATTATCCTTTTCTATTTATAGTTTAATTTTTTGTAACATCTGAAAGAATTAAGATACAGAGAAGTCAGAGACTGTCATGTGCAGTTTACTATTTAATATCTGGATAAAACAATAATACTAAGAAATAAATGAGATAGTTATGATCTGTTTATTTAAAACATACCTGACAGAAATATACATAATTATTTGATACTTTTATATTACTTTATAATTGAACACCTGAAATATATATATATATATTAAGATATATATATAAGTATATATATATATATATATATATATATAATATATATATTATATATATATATATATAATATATATATGTATATGTATATATATATATATATATATATATATATATAGATATATATATATATATATAATATATATATATATATAATATATATATATATAGGTACTCCTGTCAAATCGGACGAAGACTAAAAAAGCCTTGGACGACTTAGTCAGAGTTCTCTCCCTTTGCCGCACTGCGAACATTGATCGGAAAAGCCAACGAAACAAAGAAGACAGTCACGTCGACATCAGGGCTGCCAATGCTTGGTTGTTTCCCCCCAGATATGGGTTTTTTTTTTCGACGCTGCAGGACAATTCTAGGTTTTTTTTTTTGGGTGTGTTGTTTGTTGGTTTTTTGCCGATTTGTATGCTTTATTGATCGATAAATTTGCGTGGTTAGGGGTAGGGTTAGGGGCTAGGGAGTAGGATTAGGATTAGGGTTAGCGGTAGGGTTAGCTTGTCTAGCGTTGGATTTGACAATTTTGACGCGGAGTTCCCTATAATTGCGCACAGTCCCATACACACACAAACAATCGAGGCCTCTGGATGCTGGTGAAACGCACAATTCGCCAACGATTTGGCACCAGCCGCACACTATTGGCGTCATATTTAGCAGAATTCCAGAGGCGCCACGCCCACAAACATCAGATTGTCGGCCACTATTTCCAAACCCTACGTCAAAATTTTAACATCTAACCCTAACCCTAACCCTAACCCTAACCCTAACCCTACCCCAACCCTAACCCTAACCCTAACCCTAACCCTACCCCTAACCCTAACCCTACCCCTAACCCTAACCCTAACCCTAACCCTACCCCTAACCCTAACCCTAACCCTACCCCTAACCCTAACCCTAACCCTACCTCTAACCCTAACCCTACCCTTAACTGTAACCCAACAACCGCATGATGATGATTACACAACCATTCACAATGCCTCACGAAACCGTACGCAGCCCTACACGCAACCGCAGGATGATAGGTAAGTGTGTCGTTTATTTCGTTTGTTTTCCGATTACTGTTCGGAGTGCGGCCAAGGGAGAGAACTCTGACTAACTCGTCCACGGCTGTTTATTCTTCGTCCGGATTTGACAGGAGAGCCATATATATATATATATAAACAGAGATGTCTGAAATCATCTTACTCTAAGAATTATTTAACTAATTACTTAAAATATGAAAGAAACAAACATTCAGAGCTGCTTGAGATAGTCACGTTCTTTTTATATTTTTTTACCTAAAGAAATAATATACAGAACTTTCTGAGATAGTTATAATCTTTTTATTCTAGGTCCTATTCACATTTCCCGGTCCATCTACACACTGGTTGACCTTTCATTCATGCTTGCTCAGGCTGGTCACTGTCAGAGGGGTGTCATTGTCTCCTGTGGTATCAGTTGCAAATGACCTGATATCTAGAAGCTCACATAATGACGATTAACACGCAATGCAGAAAGCCTTTTGAAAGTCGTTGCTCACACAAGAAAGATTACCACGCAATGAAGAATTTAAAAAAAAAAAAACAGTACAATGTGACACCCCTCTGACTTAGAACAACCTGAGCAAGCAGGAATGAAAGGTCAACCAGTGAATAGATGAGCTAAGAAATGTAAATAGGACTATTATATAAAATATTCTTGAACATATGAAAGAAATCAACACTCAGAAACTATCTAAGATATTTATGCTTCATTCATCAATTATTTGTATCATATCTTCAGTCAGTGACTGAAGATTTAGAATAGTCAGGTGAGGAGAAGAATAATGTTGAGATTATGGCATCTGCTTTATTCTCAGAAATTTCAGTTATTAATCAAGGGTTCAAGCATTATTTACAAGAACTACAGATTTTAAAATATGTTTTTTGCCCCATGATAGCTTTTGTAGTGACTTAAAATAGATCATACACAACAATACACAAGGACCGCACATCATAGAACAGAATGGAAGACACAACAAGACGATGACAACCGTTTAGCAGTGCACAAAGGGATCTCCTCTGAGAAGTGATCAAGCCATTTGCTTATGCTCTGAAAGTTACAGACACGGAGGCATCTTAAATTTCATCGATTATAAACCCCAGTGGGAAGTGATAATTGGTTTCTTTATTAATATCCTACTCCAGATGATGTCACAGGACAGTCCGACATTTTAGAGGGTGGTAAGACTGGGTTTCCTGGCTTTCTGATTCTTTTAACAACCCCAAAACATAAAGAACTGGCCCTTACCCCAACCCACCTGTGTCCCACAAGAGAGTGCAGCCTAGGTCCCACAACTGCATGCAGCCTATCTACGACACCCTGAATTATTTTACTGTCCCTTGACCTGTGGATTTCCCCTATTTGGGGTAGCATATTTAAAAAAGCACCAATAATTGTTTATTGCCTTTTAGACTTTAGTTTCATTCCAGAACTTGAGTTGTAAGTGCACTTCCATTTTACAGATCTGACTTATCTAAATGCAGACTGACTGTTGATTTCTTGCTTCTCATATAGGTGAGCTCCTACTTCAGAGGAAACTCTCCTGATTTGTTGCCTTTGATATGCATGTTAAAGGGCAAATGAGTCTATTCTTTTCACCCCCAAAATGGGGCCCCGGAACCCACAATGGAAATGGGTACAATTATAGACTACATCGAGCCCTGGAACCCACACTAAGAATGGGTACAATTATAGACTACATTGATCAGTTCTCCAAAGTAATTTTTCCTGAGACCCTTGGCAGTGGAGCTATGGAGCTTATGCTCTGAATGCCATCTTACCAGACATTCAGTCCTTCTATACAGACAGATACTGAGTCCATTGGAATGAAACCATTGTACAATGGAGTCCATCTTCTTACCTTCAAAATATTACTAAGATCTTTAACTTCTTCTTATTTGCCTTTACTGGCTGTAAACTCTGGCACAAAGTCCTGGTTGTTCATCCACTTCTGGACTTTGATCTTGTTCCAGGAAATGAGTGTTTCGTTCACATCCTTTTTGACAGATCTAGCTTATCTGTGTTCAGACTGCTGGTTCCCTGCCTCTGGGGCAGTTGTACTTCAACTTTGTAGCATGCGAGCGTAAAGGGTAATGAGCGAGCAGACCAACTGGCCAGCAATGCACCAATGCATGTGGGAAAAAGCATAGACAGAGCAGATATTATCAATGCTGTACAGACTGGGCTGGTGGATAATAAGGAATCCCTAACACCAACACGATTGCGTGACATGAGAGTAAAGCATGGTGAAGCACGTCTATGCTGTCTTCAAGGCCGAGACAGGAGACAACATAAGCAGCTTCTCATGGGAACAATTAGCAGAAGCACCTTGGAGTGGCTGCTGCTTCGGAAGACTGTGCAGTGACGTTGATTGTGATAACATAACATAACAAAGTTTAAAAAATACATCACCTAAAATTGGTGTTGAATTTGTGTCTGGAACATTATCAGCAATCCTAAGTTGAAGAACATAAAGAGTGAGGAATACAGTCAGACCAATAGCCATCTTCTCTCCTCTGTCACAAGGAAGCAGAAATGATGCAAGTGTCAGAACACAAAGCATGATTGTTGGAGCAATCACTATGTAGTCATAATACAATGATTTTCTGCCCAGTTCAATCTTCAGCACAACCATGGAATGTTGGCCATTTCCTGGACAGCAAGAGCTGTCAAGAATCCCTCCAGAGATACTGACATTCCTCAAATCGTACCTGTGATGTAAAGCAAAAAAGTAATATATTACAGAACACACTTTCATGGAAAAACAGTTTGAATGCTGTAATGGAATGGATTGTATTCAAATTCTAAGGTATTACTTTTTTATGAATAATACACTTCTGTTGCTGCTGGGACAAATAAATCTATTCATGCTAACTGAGTGTTCGCCTTAAGTAAGTTTGTGTTAATGATGTTTTACTGTATTAGTACACAAAAGTAAGAAAAATTTAAAAAGCTATACAATATGATTAAGGAAAGATTAACAAGAATACACTGCTTTTGTTGGAAATGGGGAGTACAATATATATGTTATAACAATATAAAACTGAAATTACAATGACAAATTGAGTGTTAAAGTGCTTTATAAAACTTGTACTGATGTATGCATATTTAACATGGACAATAAACAGAATAGCTCAGAATCAACTTCTTCTTTTTCTTCATCTTCACTGGCTGTAAACTCCAGCAGAAAGTTCTGGTTGTTCGTCCTCTTCTGGACCCTAGTCCTGTTCCAGAACCTCAGTGTTACGTGCACATCTGTTTTAAAGATGTGACTACTAGGTATGCAGACTGTTGGTCCTTGCCTTTTAAGCAGATGAACTGTGACTTCAAAGGAAGCTCCCAATTAGTTGACTCTAAGGACATGCTTTTGGGTAGGCAGTGGGTCTGTTCTTGTTTTACTCACAATGGGGTCTCGGAACTCCCATGGAGAGAGAAACATTAAACAGCTAAGAGAAAAAAAAATAAATTTATTGACCAAAAAAAAAAAAATGAGGTAGTCCTTCAAGAAACAGGCGAAAATAACAAACTGATTACTTATAGAACTTGAATATGGCAAGATTTTTAGTCAAATTATGAGGAAATATCTCAGAACAACCAAGGCAAATAATCAGCAAAAAGTAATGTCCTGGGAAGTAAAAGTGGTTGGTATAATGTTGACTTTGATGTTGACATCATTACTCACAGCAAACGGAATAGTCTATAAAAATATTCATCACTGGCATAAAAATGGTTGCTTAGCCCGTTTAATCCCAGAGAGTTGTTATTTCAGCACTAAATATTCTAAAGGTTGCATACATCATAGTAACAACCTCTAAGTCTTAATTTATTCAACTAATCTAACTATGCAGCAGAATTAGTTAAAATGACATTTGAATATAATGGAATATTAAATACAGATGAAGAACTGAGCACAATCAGTGAAAAGAAATGTATAGAATTTACTGAGTAATTAATCAATGTATTTTGCATTGTCTGGTACTTAAAGAGTTAATTAATTTTTTTTACTATAAGAAACAAAAAAACTTGAAAATTTACAGACTAGTGGGAAATGATCTAGAGGAAGACAAAAAGACAAATCATTGCATAGCCTCATCCAGCCTCATCCCACGGAACACAGACCTGATCTGGAACTATAATGATCATGTAAGATGGTGAATAACAACACCCTATGCTTATAAGCATCAGCATCTGTAGCTTAAAAATGACCTTTGCTCCCAGGACGACCCAGCCTTGAGTAGGTATGATGGACTCTTCAAGATAAAACTCAACCATACTACAGGCAATCATATACATTTTACATTTGGTCAGATTACACTCAGTAAACCAAGCTTTCCCCATTAGCCACGTCTACTATGTAGACTCTTTTTCCCCGCCTTCAGGTGTATTGGGCTTATAGGGCTAGGCCTATATTTTATAGACCAATCAGCACTTGATGGGTGATGTGGTCAGCATCATGCCGGCCGCCTTTACTTTCCAGGACTGCTTCTGGTACCCACTCAAGGCTGGGAGCCAGGGTCATTTTTTTTTTTAAACTGTGAATTTAGTGTGTTTAAAAGTTTCACGGTTATAACATTTCACAGTGATGTGTTTTCCTTCTAGGTGCCTGCTGTAAAACCTATCAGGACTGAGTTAAGCACTTAAACAAGTTCATCCTCAGTAAAAACTTACTCGCTGTTCATGACATAATGTTCCAGATCAGGTTTTGTAGCATCTGAAACAATTTCAAGCTGTTCATCGTCATAGATCCAAGAGCCAAATTTGATGGTACAGATCTGTCTATCATACGGGAAGTATGTCACATCCACAGAACAGACACTAGACACCATCAGTGGAACCATCCATTTCACATTACCATTGTACTGTATGGAAACTTTGCTTCCATTGATGCCAACAAAACCATCCATATTGGCATTGGCCCTGTTGAGAATTATAATTGTATTTACTGGTACATTTAGGCGTTTAGCTTTTTCAGCAATACTGCAAGAATAGAACAACCAGTCAAGATATGCATAGAAAATCTAGGTTAATACAACAATTATATGCATCACCAGAAGTGTAGAAGAGTTTATTACTTTAGTTGAAACCAGCTAATGCATAATGAGTTTACTGGTCCTGAATAATTTTGTAGATGGGCAGTCCATCCCATTATCCATATCATCATCATCATCATCATTATCACCATCTTGTGCCCTGCTCATAAGCATAGGAAGTAATACTTTGCCATCTCACTCAATCATAAGAATCACAATCACGTCAGTGTTCTTGTTTCACAACCCTTCCTATAGTTAAGCCGTCCAGGTATTTATCTCTTTACCTTCCTTCGCCTTACTCTTTACTCTATCAGTCTTCCCAATTGTCCCCTGTTCTCAAGTCCATTACTTATCTTAACGTTCAAAAACACAGACCTGTCTTACATATAATTTCTCTGAGAAGTTTATGGTTTTCATCTGACTCATTGAAGATTGACTCATTTATTTTCCCCCCATTCCACTATTTTCTGGTCAGCATGTCTATTCTGGGCATTTTGAAGAAGGTAGTCTGTCGCTGCTTTCCTTTTTGGGCATTGAGCACACTGGTCCGGTGATCGTAGTCATAGTCACAATAGTGTGATCCTTTGCCTTCCATGAGACCTTGACGTAAAACTATCCATCTTATGGCACATTGGTGGTGAACTGATGTATGACAAGCTATATGTTGTGAGACCCTTTGGGGGTGAGTGAACAGTGTGGAAGCACAAAAAGATCATTACGGACTGAGGAGAATGGCACCGCAGGGAGTTACCAGGGGATCTGGCAGACGCTCAACACTTAAGAAAAAGGTGAGACGGAGGTACAATCAGACAGTTGCTGGTACCATCAGAACGAAAACTCTTCACTTGCTGCTGAAGATGGGAATGGAGTGCTGTTGAGAGTGTCCCAAGTGCTACGATATTGATTCCTAATTCAACATTCAACATTCTTCTTGCAGCTCTCAAGATTATGGCAGCAATGGACATGGAACAAAGAATGCTGTTCACAGTGTTCCAGCATGTGATCCTGTAGGTGATAGATTATGGACTTGAAATACTTACCATATCAAAACGTCAGCAGTTAAAATTCAAACGCATACAGCCATGCGAGTAATTCTGGAATGTACAAGAGATATCCCGGTAGTATGTATGTGATATATACTTGCACTGCCTACTATTGCAGATAATCTCAAAGTTCTGCAAGCAAGGTCATTTCCTAGAGTAGCTGCAAACAAGAAGCACATCCTACATGAAGCCCTGGGTAGAGCTAAGGATCACAGACTGAAAAGAGGAAGGTCTTGGATGGCGCAAGCTGAAGAGACAATCAGACATTTGTGCAGGCTTGATAATTTAGAGTGAGGAGAGGAGTGGGTCAAGGTGACTGAACGAGTTTCAGACTTGTGTAGAGTTCTAATCATGTTAGGTCATGAGTGCAGGGACTGGCCAGTTGGTGCTGCAGAATCAGAAGTTCAACAAATGATTCATGACTATTCCCATCCAAGTGATGTGATTATTTATACAGATGGCTCTGTGTTTCATAGCAAGGTGAATGGACGTCGCCTAGTGCAGCAAAGCCTTGCATACAATATCAGGACATCTAGTTTGAGAATGGAGGTGGAGGCAGTCTCTGCTGTCTTCTGCTGGCTTGAGAATCAGTTGTACACACATGTCGTGATTGTAACTGACTCACAGAGCATGTTGAGAAAGGTGAAAACAGGCATGCTTCGTGCAGAGTGGCAAGCATCACTTGGTCCCGGGTAGTTAGCATCCTTTGGATATTTTCTCCAGGTAATGCCGGTGTGTTGGGAAATGAGCAGGCAAAAGTCTGGCTGGTTCTGCACCACTTGGTGGTGAACTGATGTGAGACAAGTTAGATTCTGTGAGGGCCTTTGGGATCAGGTGAACAATGTGAAGGGGCAGATAGATCATTACGGTCTGAGGAGAATAGCGCTGCGAGAAGTTACCAGGGGATCTGGCTGATGCTCAACACTCAGGGGAAGGATGAGATGGATATAAAATCAGACAGTTACTGGTACCATCAGAATTGGAACTCTTTGCTTGCTGCTGAAGATGGAGATGAGCACTTATGGGAGTGTCCCGAGTGCTGTGCTGTTGATTTTTAATTCAACATTCAACAACATTTAACATTCTTCTTGCACATTAGGTTAAAGTGTCAACAAAGTCAAAACTGATTGACAGTAAACCTGATAATGATTCTAAATGGTTTGCAGTGAAAAGGGAACTATTCTCTAATTTTTTGGTTCAATGAATCTGCTTTGTGGTTTCATCTTCTTCTCTTTCTACAGCCACTACATTAAGTTATTGAGGGAGATATAGGATTTTTCTGTATGCTTTTTCTAATATATTGAGTATTTGGTATTAATTTCCTTGAGACTCTTCTTGATGTTGTCCCATAATTTGAATGGTCTTCCCCTCGCATTGTGTTCATTGTATTTCTTCAATGTGGCTCTGTATGACAGTAGTTGCCAAAGCATTCTTGTCAGATAGCCAAACCATCTCATTTGTTTTCAAATGAAAATTATTAATTAAAAAAACGTGAGCTGAAACAACTATCGCATGCTTACGTGTTATATATAAAGATGTCTGGAAGCCATATACTCGATGCAGGTATCATAATTGCATGTTGATCCTCATAATCAGACGGGGACCATTTCAGCATTTCGTCAGTCCATTCCTGCATTGATTGAAACAATTAGTTCAGTCTCATATAAATACTATCTTATTTACACAAAAATGATTGACTGTAGGAGGTGACATTTTAGATTTCCCTGTTGTAAATCTGAACAAAGAAGACACAGACGGTTAATAGACAATCAAAGTAATGTTTCCATGTTGTAAATTTGAACAAAGAAGACTCAAACAAAAGACTGCACAATTTATTGCATGGAATATTTCTTTGTATCTCTGCCCCAAACTTTGCAAACAAAAAGACATGATTCTGACAATGCAGCTGCCCTGGAAAACAGGCAGTTGCATTTGACTGTTGGTGAGTTTCTCCTCCAATTATAAAGGATCACTTATTTGATTCATTTATGTAACTATTACAATAGTTTGCACCTGATGAGATACAGAGAAATATGCCAGGCAATAAAATTGTACACCTGTGGAAAAATCTCAATTTTGGGCATTTTTAGGCTATCTCCATTTTTGCTCCAAAATGTCAGATTACACATCTAGATTATCTACTCTACATCTACAGTGTCCATTCATGTGTAAAACAATTGTCTGGGACTCAAGGTGAAGTGGTAGGACACAAAAAGTTGTTGGAGAAATTGTTTGGTAAAATCTGTTTTTTCCTCATTTGCCTATCTCCTTTTCTGCCATCAATTTGCTTCGAAAAACTACTCCTCTAGAGTATCTTTGAAGTGTGTAATGATAGACTAAGGCCAAATTTTTAACTTTTGGAAAATGTCAGTTTTTGGCTGGAAAAACCCGACAGGCGCGCGCCTTTAGAAAAATCTCAATTTTGGGCATTTTTAGGCTATCTCCATTTTTGCTCCAAAATGTCAGATTACACATCTAGATTATCTACTCTACATCTACAGTGTCCATTCATGTGTAAAACAATTGTCTGGGACTCAAGGTGAAGTGGTAGGACACAAAAAGTTGTTGGAGAAATTGTTTGGTAAAATCTGTTTTTTCATTTGCCTCCTTTTTTGCTCCAAAATGCTCAACTACTCCTCTAGAGTATCTGCTGAAGTGTGTAATGATAGACTGAGGCAAAATTTTTAACTTTTGGAAAATGTCAGTTTTTGGCTGAAAAAACCCGACAGGCGCGCGCCTGTGGAAAAATCTCAATTTTGGGCATTTTTAGGCTATCTCCATTTTTGCTCCAAAATGTCAGATTACACATCTAGATTATCTACTCTACATCTACAGTGTCCATTCATGTGTAAAACAATTGTCTGGGACTCAAGGTGAAGTGGTAGGACACAAAAAGTTGTTGGGGAAAAATTTTGAAAAAATCTGTTTTTTTTTTTTTCTCATTTGCCTATCTCCTTTTTTTGCCATCAATTTGCTTCAAAATGCTCAACTACTCCTCTAGAGTATCTGCTGAAGTGTGTGTGATGATGATAGTCTGAGGCAAAATTTTTTTAACTTTTGGAAAATGTCAGTTTTTGGCTGGAAAAACACAACAGGCGCGCGCCTTTAGAAAAATCTCAATTTTGGGCATTTTTAGGCTATCTCCATTTTTGCTCCAAAATGTCAGATTACACATCTAGATTATCTACTCTACATCTACAGTGTCCATTCATGTGTAAAACAATTGTCTGGGACTCAAGGTGAAGTGGTAGGACACAAAAAGTTGTTGGGGAAAAATTTTTAGTAAAATCTGTTTTTTTCATTTTTTTCCTATCTCCTTTTTTCTGCCATCAATTTGCTCTTCTCTTCTGCTCAACTACTCCTCTAGAGTATCTGCTGAAGTGTGAAATGATAGACTAAGAGAAAAAATTTTTAACTTTTGGAAAAATGTCAGTTTTTGGCTGGAAAAAAAAACCGACAGGCGCGCGCCTGTGGAAAAATCAATTTTTGGCATTTTTAGGCTATCTCCATTTTTTTTTTCCAAAATGTCAGATTACACATCTAGATTATCTACTCTACATCTACAGTGTCCATTCATGTGTAAAACAATTGTCTGGGACTCAAGGTGAAGTGGGTAGGACACAAAAGTTGTTGGGGAAATTTCTTAGAAAATCTCTTTTTTTTTCATTTTTTTTTATCTCCTTTTCTGCCATCAATTTGCTTCAAAATGCTCAACTACTCCTCTAGAGTATCTGCTGAAGTGTGTAATGATAGACTGAGACAAAATTTTTAACTTTTGGAAAATGTCAGTTTTTGGCTGGAAAAACCCGACAGGCGCGCGCCTGTGGAAAAATCTCAATTTTGGGCATTTTTAGGCTATCTCCATTTTTGCTCCAAAATGTCAGATTACACATCTAGATTATCTACTCTACATCTACAGTGTCCATTCATGTGTAAAACAATTGTCTGGGACTCAAGGTGAAGTGGTAGGATACCAAAAGTTGTTGGGGAAATTTTTTTAAAAAAATCTGTTTTTTTTTTTTTCCTCATTTGCCAATCTATTTTTCTGTCACCAATTTGCTCCAAAATGCTCAACTACTCCTCTAGAGTATCTTTTGAAGTGTGAAATGATAGTCTGAGACAAAATTTTGAACTTTTGAAAAATGTCAGTTTTTGGCTGGAAAAAAACCCGACAGGCGCGCGCCTGTGGAAAAATCTCAATTTTGGGCATTTTTAGGCTATCTCCATTTTTGCTCCAAAATGTCAGATTACACATCTAGATTATCTACTCTACATCTACAGTGTCTAATCATGTGTAAAAAAATTGTCTGGGACTCAAGGTGAAGTGGTAGGACACAAAAAGTTGTTGGGGAAATTTTTTAGAAAAAATCTGTTTTTTTTTTTCATTTGCCAATCTATTTTTCTGTCACCAATTTGCTCCAAAATGCTCAACTACTCCTCTAGAGTATCTTTTGGAGTGTGAAGTGATAGTCTGAGACAAAATTTTGAACTTTTGAAAAATGTCAGTTTTTGGCTGGAAAAACCCGACAGGCGCGCGCCTGTGGAAAAATCTCAATTTTGGGCATTTTTAGGCTATCTCCATTTTTGCTCCAAAATGTCAGATTACACATCTAGATTATCTACTCTACATCTACAGTGTCTAATCATGTGTAAAACAATTGTCTGGGACTTGAAGTGAAGTGGTAGAACACCAAAAAAGTGTTGGGGAAATTTTTTTAGTAAAAAATCTGTTTTTTTTTTTTCATTTGCCTATCTCCTTTTCTGCCATCAATTTGCTTCAAAATGCTCAACTACTCCTCTAGAGTATCTTTGAAGTGTGTGAATGATAGACTGAGACAAAATTTTTAAACTTTTGGAAAATGTCAGTTTTTGGCTGGAAAAACCCGACAGGCGCGCGCCTGTGGAAAAAATCTCAATTTTGGGCATTTTTAGGCTATTTCAATTTTTGCTCCAAAATGTCAGATTACACATCTAGATTATCTACTCTACACATCTACAGTGTCCATTCATGTGTAAAAACAATTGTCTGGGACTCAAGGTGAAGTGGTAGGGTAGGACACCAAAAAGTTGTTGGGAAATTTTTTAGAAAAAAATCTTTTTTTTTCATTTGCCTATCTCCTTTTCTGCCATCAATTTGCTTCGAAATACTCAACTACTCCTCTAGAGTATCTGCTGAAGTGTGAAATGATAGACTGAGACAAAATTTTTTAACTTTTGGAAAATGTCAGTTTTTGGCTGGAAAAAACCGACAGGCGCGCGCCTGTGAAAAAAATCTCAATTTTGGGCATTTTTAGGCTATCTCCATTTTTGCTCCAAAATGTCAGATTACACATCTAGATTATCTACTCTACATCTACAGTGTCCATTCATGTGTAAAACAATTGTCTGGGACTCAAGGTGAAGTGGTAGGACACAAAAAAAGTTGGGGAAATTTTTTAGAAAAAAATCTGTTTTTTTTTTCTCATTTGCCTATCTCCTTTTCTGCCATCAATTTGCTCCAAAATGCTCAACTACTCCTCTAGAGTATCTTTAGAGAAGTGTGTGAAGATGAGTCTGAGACAAAATTTTTAACTTTTGCAGAATGTCAGTTTTTGGCTGGAAAAACCCGACAGGCGCGCGCCTGTGGAAAAATCTCAATTTTGGGCATTTTTAGGCTATCTCCATTTTTGCTCCAAAATGTCAGATTACACATCTAGATTATCTACTCTACATCTACATTGTCAATTAATGTGTAAAACAATTGTCTGGGACTCAAGGTGAAGTGGTAGGACACCAAAAGTTGTTGAGTAAATTTCTTAGTAAAATCTATTTTTTTCACATTTTTGCCTATCTCCTTTTCTGCCATAAATTTGCTCCAAAATGCTCAAAATGCTACTCCTCTAGAGTATCTGCTGAAGTGTGTAATGATAGACTGAGACTGAGACAAAATTTTGAACTTTTGAAAAATGTCAGTTTTTGGCTGGAAAAACCCGACAGGCGCGCGCCTGTGGAAAAATCTCAATTTTGGGCATTTTTAGGCTATCTCCATTTTTGCTCCAAAATGTCAGATTACACATCTAGATTATCTACTCTACATCTACAGTGTCTAATCATGTGTAAAACAATTGTCTGGGACTTGAAGTAAAGTGGTAGAACACTAAAAGTTGTTGGGGAAATTTCTTAGAAAATCTCTTTTTTCCTCATTTGCCAATCTATTTTTCTGTCACCAATTTGCTCCAAAATGCTCAACTACTCCTCTAGAGTATCTTTTGGAGTGTGAAGTGATAGTCTGAGACAAAATTTTGAACTTTTGAAAAATGTCAGTTTTTGGCTGGAAAAACCCAACAGGCGCGCGCCTGTGGAAAAATCTCAATTTTGGGCATTTTTAGGCTATCTCCATTTTTTTTGCTCCATGTCAGATTACACATCTAGATTATCTACTCTACATCTACAGTGTCTAATCATGTGTAAAACAATTGTCTGGGACTCAAGTGTGAAGTGTGGTGGTAGGACACAAAAGTTGTTGTTGGGGAAATTTCTTAGAAAATCTCTTTTTTCCTTATTTGCCAATCTATTTTTCTGTCACCAATTTGCTCCAAAATGCTCAACTACTCCTCTAGAGTATCTTTTGGAGTGTGAAGTGATAGTCTG